AAAAAAAAAAAAAAAAACAGGCACAAACACACACACAAAGCTAAGTATCTAATCGATTCTGAAATCTGAACAGACACAAAAAGAAGGGAGAGATTGAAATCGATGTTACCTGAAAGTGAGAAAACGAAACGAACGAGATTTGTTGGTGAAAATGCAAATCTCACAAAAAAAAAAAGGGGGAAGAATTTAAAGGGATTTTCACTTGGGTTTTCGTTTAAAGCTGAGAATAAAATATCCCTCCACACACTCCATAATTACACTCGATTAATGATAAACAATTCTGCTTGGATTGGATGCCTCGGCTTATGGAGCAATCCGCACTTATTCACTAATAGTGTATCGACACGTGTTTTATAATAAATATAATTTGGACAAGTGTCAATGTATTAAGTGATGGATGACTTCATAAGAAAAAACATCTGATGGCTCCATAGATTTTTTGTAATGATAAAAACACTGGATAAAAAGTAATGTAGGACTTCAATTAATTTTATATCATATACTAGTATTCGAAAATGATATAAATTTTATGTGTTACATGTATGTGTATCTAAAATCATAAGTTATAAAATAAGTATTTCATATTTTATAGATTTTAACATTAGTAAAAATGAACAATATAAATATAAATTATTTAACTTATATATTAATATGTATATTGATTTCAGTAATATAATTTCCGCAATCCTGATTATCAATTAATTTAATAAAATAATATTGAATTTATTATTATTTGTACGAAATTTTAAGGAGTTTGATTATGAAATTTATTAATTATTTTTAATACAAAAAAACTTAACTAATGAGTTGAAAGAAAAAGAAATAATATTTTATACAATCTAAATTTTTTTATATTAAAATATCATTTAGTGTGAATTTATAATTAGTAGTTATTGTATAATAAATTAAAAAAATATATATAATTACTTTATTAATGTGAAAATAAGAAAAAAGAACGTGAAGACGAAAATAATTATCATAATTTTTTTGCCAATGGTTATATCTATATAAATATAGATTTAGGTTTTCCAACATTAAGAAGAAAATCATGTGCACATATACGGAGGGAAACAAAAATTTATATATCAGTATTACACTTTAAAAACTTTACTATATGTATATGTATAATATAAATATAAATTATTTAACTTCCATATAAATCAGTTTTTTGTATTTTTTTTATATTGTAATACTATAATACAAAATATGAAATTAGATGTAAAATAATTTAATATTGTATATTCAGAAAATTTATTAAGTAAAAAACAAAATAACCATGGTCATATATTCAGTAGTTATTCAATAACTAATATAATTATTTAACATTTACAGTTTAGTGTTGAATTATTTTTTCATCATTTAAAAGGATAAGTTTTGTGGAGTTTTTCATCAATTTTTGATTCTTCTCATATCATTTTTGAGACATTTTATCCCTAGACTTCCATTGGAATAGTCAAATTCACCAAATATGTATTCAAAACCTACCACCAGAGGTCCAGAACTAATATAAATAGTAGCCAAGTTAAAATTTAATTACAACACAACACTAAAATAATAAACCACAGTGTATTCAAAACCTACCACCAGAACTAATATAAATAGTAGCCAAGTTAAAATTTAATTACAACACAACACTAAAATAATAAACCACAGTGTCTAAAATTTGAGCGGCGGGTATGAATATGATTCACCACATAAAGATGCGCTAGGACGTAATTATGATGAGTACAACTTTCTTCTTCGTATGTTTGTCTATGTGAAATAGAATTTTTAAAAAGGGAGAAAAATGGAATTTACTGAAGAAAAGCTAATTTTTTCTTTATAATTTTGTGGAACCCAACATAATAAGTTGGTATAACTATGTGCTTTATAATTTAGTCCAACCCAAAATAATAAGATAGAAATTAAATAAACTTGCAATAGGATTGTATCAACGCTTTACAAGGCATCACGATAATCTCACATGAAATTTGCACAAAATCTTATAGAAGTTTCTATTCAATTTGTTCTTCAAATTTACTAATACTTTCAACAAAATAATCTATCAATTAAGAAAGAAATTAGAAAATTGTACATTTCAATTAGACTAGGGAAATATTGAAAAGGTATAGGGTGAAAATTTGGTGCGTTATAAAATATGTTTCAATTTTTTCCACATTTCATATATATACCAACTAAAAAATAGGTGATTATATGGGAATTGTTTTCTAGTACATTTAATTTATCATGTCACGAGGAACATGTCAATTTCCAAAACAAGATGTCTTTATGAATATATATTTTATTTTCTTAGACAAAATAGTAAATTACTTAAAGAGTATAGTTAGTGTCGAAATTGTTCATATATCCACCCTAAGTACATTAAAATATGTTCAACAATCACATATCAAGATCTCCTGAATGTTAAATACTATAGTCGCCGTGTAGGTTATACTAATTTCTTGTCACATAAATCGATGAACATATTAACTTCTACGTACACATTGTGCGCAGATAATAGTACTATGTAAGTATTAGATCTCTTTGGTCACCATCTATATTGTTGGACTTTCATAATTTAGCTAATGAACGTTTACATCCACATGATACATAAAAGCCTCAAGTGTCATGTACATAACATCAACCATAACTTCATATCATTATACTTTTAACATTGCAATGACACAATTAACTTCAAGCACATCCTTTAACCACCACTTCCCATCAAACACTCAAAACATATTACATTGATTATCACTAGTACCATTACCAAATAGTTATATATAACAAGAAAACATCACATATATATCAAACACATCTTGATCCATCCTTGATAAATAACCCAAAAAGGGTGG